GTTGGTATGTGGTTACTAAAAGTAGATATTTATTATTTTAGGATTTAATAAATGTAGTCGTTGGTATGTGGTTACTAAAAGTAGATATTTATTGCAATATATTTTAAAATATGTGTTTAATATAAACTCGAATGTCCAAAAAATTGGAATTACAAAATTAATAAAAACTGAAGAGTAAATATTAATAATAATATTAGTTAAGAAAGTGGACTACAAATTTAACAAAAAATAAGTTAATTTAAATCATTTGGTTCAAAACACATTTTTTTTTACATTAACTTACTATTGTCTACCTGCATAACATAATTTATTTACACAACAAAACTTCATAACAAAAAAAAAAAAATTAAAATTTCTATTTCTTACATATATAAATCATTAAAATTTTATATTGCAAGTTAAAAATAATATCATTTCTGTTAATCAAATAATAATTATTAACAAAATAATAATTCTATATTTGAAACTATTATTTTTTAATGATAATAAAATTCTATTTTCCTATTCTATAAAAAGTATTTCTATATTTGAACAATTTTTTTATTTTAAAAAACTATCTCTCATCAAACCAAAAATTTAGTATTAAAGAAAACTCAAATAAACAAGAAAAATTAAAATAACAAAAAACAACATTATTTAATTAAATAAATACTTTTAATATTATACAATTAAAAATTAATATTCAAACAAAATAAAAGAAAAAAAAATTTAAATTGTATGGGCCGGCTGTGCTTAGCACAGCCGGTAACTTTCTAGTTAATTGTATAATATTAGAGTAATTTATAAGCTCACGCCTTATTCGACGTGACATTAAATATGAAAAATCTAGGCAACTTTCCAAATTAAGAACATTCATCATTTTAGAAGTGGGATGTGACGTTGAGATGCAAATTAATCATTGACTAAAAATCAGTGGATGAATTGATGATGATGAATATGATTGGTGCGCAACTTGATCAAGTGCTAATGCTTGCAAATAGATAATTGTTAAAGGTCGGATATTTTGCCCAATGTCCTCATCAACTATGATTAAATTTCTTGATCTTTTTGGCATATAATTGATTAATGTTATTATCCACTCCAAATCATTGTTTTTCAACCCAGAATGCCCCGACGGGTCGACTCAGGATCCAGCAGACCCGAAGCTAAAACCAGTCTAGGTGAGCTATTTGGACTGGGTAACAATGGACTCGGTCAATCAACAGACGTGGAACATATAATGTACATATTTGATCCACTAGATAACATTAATTATCTGAAGATAATAATCATAAAATCATAAAATCAACCAGCAGACGTGGAACAAATATGAACTACAGGTCTACTACAACTACACTATTCAATTCTCTCAACATTGAGTTAATAATTAATCTAGAAATACCAACCGTCCTGTATTACATGTCTTTAGCTATCTATAGCTATATATTGTACCTTAAATTACTACACCTACATTATCAACTGAAAAATACTTGATCATGAGCCTAGTTAGTTACTTAATTTGTACTAGAAACCTAGGCAGCCCGATTTTGTGTCCGAATACCTTAACATCTTCTTGGACCTGCTTTCTGTACTCGCCGAAGCTAAAGCTTCTATAGACGCGAGGCTCGATTTCGCTCTGTATAAGAGTGTCGTAAGATGGGCAAAAGAAGTACGCTGTGGAGAATCTCTCGTGTAACGGGTTTGCCACAACACGATGCTCGACACTTTTGTACACATTGTTGCTCCATGCCTGAAAATCATCATTAATTTAATGTGCCTTCACAACAAATGAAAAAAAATAAATAAATAAATAAAAATAAAAATAATAATAATGTACCTGAAACAAATCTCCAATATTGATGATTAAGGCATCTTGATTAGGTTTAACGGCAAACCATTTTCCGTCTTTGACTAGCTGCAGACCTCCAACGTGGTCTTGATGCAGTACAGTGATGAAGTCACTGTCTGTGTGTGGCATTATTCCGAACATTTTCGGATATATGTGACAAGCCGGATATCGGTTTAATCGAAGGTAACAAGTGTCGGGCACACATTTTTCTTTGAAAAATGCGGAGCTTTTACCCAATTCATCGGCTAATATGTCTACCAGTTGTTGCGACAATTTCGATACGGTTATAGCGACTTGCTCCATGATACAACTGTTTAATATTAAAGCAAAAATTAATATTGTTTTTAAAAAAATTAGATGATCAAAATAATAAAAAAAAAATTATAAATATGATAACAATCTAATTTATTAATTTTAATATATTTTATTCTTCATCACATGCATGCACGAAATAGAGTAAGAGAGATAAAAAAATGTACTATGTTTTTAGATGTTTATATAATATATTTATATGTAAATTAGAGACTATTTTTATATTTTACTTTTTATATTTTTAGTTATATCTACAATTATGATTTATATAAAATTAATGTATGAATTATTGTACAATATGCTCGGTGGCATATATATTCCATTCCACCGTGTTCTCAGTTTTATCTTTTCCACATGTTTTGATCTGATATATGTTGAAAAAACAATTTTTGTGTTTTTGATTGTGTGAAACGAATATTCTAAAATATTTTTGCAAAAACTTTATGTCTCATCAGTCAAATTATGTCGGGAGAATTTGATCAATAATATAATATGGATCAAAATTCCTTTCTCGTGTCTCATTTAATGCTACAAATTATATGAAGAAAGAAGAGAACAGTATGTTTACATCCTATTATGTGATGTATTATGGGATATGCTACGGTCATACTACGGTATCATCCCGTCGCGAGTTTTAACTGTTGGATCATCTATCTTATCTAATTACATGTTGATCCAACAGTTAAAACATTCGACGAGATGGTACTATAACGAGACTGTAGCATTGTGCTGCTTGATATTTGACATAAGTCTTTCGTCAGAGTTGCACTATGAATTCTAAATCTGGAAATGCCTATGGATCAATATTATAACGTAACAAGAAAATAACGACAATATATTTCAATAGAATTTCAACTGTAATTTCAGTGTTATTATTTTCATTGCATTTTTCAATGAATTCTAATGAAAAATCCAACACAAGTAATACTCGGTTAGAATGAGTTTTCATTGGAATTTTATTGGATTTTCACGATTTTAAAGGTAGATTTTCCAAATGATTGAAATATAGGTAAAAATAAAATTTTCGACAAAAATATCTACTGTAATAAACTGTTGAAGAAATGGTTGTTCCAATTATCACATTACATCCAAAGTTTCATTAAAAATCTCATTCTAAACAGAATATTTGGAATTTCCATCGGAATGATTCCAACAGAAACAGCTGTAACATTGGAATATCCGTTTGAATTTTCATTAAAAAATATATTAACATTGAATTTCCCGTTAAAATATGAAAATAAAAACAGTTTCCTAAACAAGATTACCTGAGGTTATCCCGACCGGCCGAGCCCAACACGTCTCCCAACGAGATGTGGAAAGCTTCCGACCACGAGAGCTGCTTGAGGCACGTGGCGAATGGGGTTCCCCACCTGTAGCTCCCGGCCGAGAAGTTCAAATCCTTGCAACCCGTTTTCTTCTCGCGAAACGATCTTTTGAACAACTTCATTTGCTCGTCCCTCATCTTATCGAGTATCTCGCGCGAAATCCCGTGATTCACCACTTGGAAAAAACCCCACTCGCGTGACGCCTTGGCGATCTGCTTCTTGCATGCTCGGGCCTCACGGCCGCCTAAGTTTAGGCGGTCGAGATCGATTAGGGGAAGATCGCATTCCTCGACGGGAGAAAGCTCGGGAAAATTCTTTTCCGGGGTGTCGGTCATGTTTTCGAATAGGTTCTTGTACGTCTCCTCGAAGGGCGGGTCGGGTGATTCTTCCATTATTCTTACAGGCTGATGGGAGAAGGAGAAATTGTAACTAAATTTTGCATGTTATTTTGATAGATATAGTAGCATGAATAAAGAGAAATCATAGGGAAAAACAGAGTTGAAGCACAAGACCAAAATATAATAACAAGAAGATCAAAGCAATTTATACACTTTTCATGAATTTAAAGTCTTTTTTGTCAATGTGTTGACAATACCAATGGGTCTGTGAATTAGGAGACAGTCATAATACTTTTTTTTTAATAAAATTGTAATCGTATTTTTATTTACATTATATTTTGAAATAATAATAATAATATAATAATAAAAAAAGAGCAAATATATATATTTCAACTCTTTGGTCTACAAAATGGTAGACTAAATCAAAGGTGCACATAATTGGTCAAAAGTATATAAAAAAAATTACATGACTTTTTGACCACCTTAGGTTTCTGTCTGCCAGAATATGCTTAGTTTCAGACCTTGTTTACTCATAAATAGAGACTTTTTTTTTTATGCCTTTTTATTGCTAACCAAGTTCACGACACCACATGTTTTTACCAATATAGTTTGCACGTTTCATAAAGCTTTTTTTAAGGCTTTAACTTATTTTAAAAAATAATACATTAAATTTGTACACTAACTTGTCAAATTAATCTTTTTTGATAATTTTGATAAATTAGTATATTAATTTT